ATGCCTTGTGTGTGTATGTGTATGCATAACTATACTCACAACATATCTCCTGTTCTGGGACTCCCCCATACCCCAGCATCTCCCACTCAATACACAGTGTGGAGCAAACCCCCACAGTTGCCCCTTCATTCCTCCTCTAGATTGCGCCTACCCTCCACCCCTCAATCCCTTCTGCAAATCATGCCTGCCCCCATCCTCACATAGGTCATGCCTGCCCCCATCCCTCTGTGGATGTCACCTACACCTTCATCCCTCCTGCGGATTGTGCCTGCCCACCTTCATCCTGCAGATTGCACCTGCTCCCCTATTGCTCCTGCAGATGATGCCTGCCCCTCCATTCCTCCATGGACTACGCCTATACCCACATCCCCCTGATACCTGCCACAGATCTCTTCTACCCCTCTGCAGTCCCGCTGTGGATCCGACTTGCCTCCTGATTTCCCCGATGGACTCCCTGCTTGCCCCCCAGCCTGCTTTCCCAACTCCCTTGCCAGACTCCCCTATCCTGACTTACCTTGAGTCAGGTGGCCATTTTTAACACGACTTAACCTCCCCCTAACCCCCACCCCTGGATGTCCGCACTTAGCCTGGATGTGCTTTCCACTGTTTATGGTAAGTTTTATATCTGATGGTATTAAATCCAGTAGGGTAACACTGGGTGAGCAAGAGGGGCACGAGTCCTTGGGCACTGCCTAAAGTGGGGGTGTGCCAGAACAGAGCTAGTGCCCACTCTCCATCCTTTGCCATCTTGTCACTTCCTCTTCACCCCCACATTATGAATCTTCCTTGTAGCAGCTCTAGCTATAGGTGTCCAGAAAACAGAACAGCATAGTGGCAATGTGTAGGGGGTGCATTTGCAACCCCTGAGAGCACCGGTGCACACCCTGACCAGCCGTACTTGCCACTTGGGCAATGGGTGGGGGGACAGGCGGGAGGGCTGGGGTCCTCCACCCCCGCAAACCCTGATGGATCACTGCAGCTGCTCCCAGAAGTGGTCACAGCCACTCTCTGAAGTGGTCACAGCGATTGGCTGTCGCAGGATTGGCCGCAGGGGTCAGGGCAGTGAAATCAGCCGCAGCCCCCTCCCCTGCCCCCAGTGAGCAGGCTTGGCCATGGTGGGGGACATGCCCCCACAGACAAGCCGCCCATGAAACAGCACAAAGTATAGGAGGAACAGTGGCTAGTGATTCATTGCTGCAGGGGGCAGTTGTCACCTCCTTATCTTGCCATTTAAAATCAGTGGCTTTTAAATCATTCAGTGCACATGTTGGTGGCATCTCCTTCAGAAGCAATGTACCTTTAGCTGCTACTTCTGCACTGTACACCACCATCGCCTAGGGCACAGAACTGGCCAGTTAAGCTTCTGGTTACATCTTACTGTTCCTGATAATTTCCATTTAGGAGCATAAGACTGAAGTGGGCCTCCTGGGTCATTTAAAGCAAGTCCCCTATGTTTACAGATGGTCTCCCTGCTGAGGGGTCCAGGGTCCCACACCAGCCCATTGCGGCAATTGCAGGGAAATTCCCTTTGAACCTTTGTAGTCCTGGGCTTTAGTCAGGTTCAGTTCCTCCTGAAAAATGGTATGTGAGCAGCCATATGTAAGAATTCCGAGGTGCTGGAGTGTGCTTAATGTTTATAGAATCTCTGGAGAATTTTGCTGCATGCAACTGTAGAAAATCTCTAGCATTCACAATGCGATTGTTCAAAACCTTATAGTTTACCAGAATTGAATGGATTTTTATAGGAATCTCAAAAAGCATATCTCTGACCACTCTGACACATTTTAAGGCCATACTGGAAATCGTGAGGATTCACGAGCTTCTCAGCACAACATTTATAAGAAATTTAAACATTGAAAAACTTCATATTTTTCCTTTTTTTCATTCTCTGTACTGGACAAACAATTTTAACTGACCCTTTCAAAAAAGGTTCAGTGTGAATCAGACACTTCATGCAGAAAATTTCAGCCCAAATAGGCTAAAGTTGGCAATATTTGTAGCACCTTAAAACAGAATCTTGTAAAAGGAAATAATTGAGGATAGTTTCAATTAAATGACTGCTGCCAGCTCCATCAAGGTGGGTGGGGAATGTAGATAGTCTGCTCAGATTAGTGGTTTAATCTTTCATTCATACATGCACAACATGCTTACTGTATGTTGTGAGGGAACATAAAGGAGAAGAAGATAGGAAGGACTTTCGGGAGCTGTGTGTGTGTGTATACATGCATGTATGCAAGCATATGCAAAGCCTAAGTGCAGCTCACACATGCACAGTTTGCTGTTGAATGGGAGAGTTGCATTTATAGGCAAAGGATGGTCACAGTAAAATCAAGAATTTGTTTTCAGTATATAACACAGTGAGGTAATTGGAACCAGTGAATGAGTACTATTTAAGGGAGTCCAGTATATATGTAGAGCTTCCTTTTGGGAGCATTAGATATTCGTGTTAGTATGGTATGCATCCGTGAGAAATTATACCTAGGGACTTACCAAATTCAAGGTGGCTGCCTCCTGATTTTGCAGTCTGAGCTTGGCACCAGGTGCCATTTTCATGGTGGAGTGTTTTGGGGCCCCCCCATGCCTCTGGCCAAGGGGCCCCAAAAGTTCTGCCCTTCTCTGGAGATTGACAGATGGCTATCTGTCAGTCTCCACAGAAAGGTAGGGCCTCTGGGACCTCTTGGCCAGTCAGAGGTGTGGGGGGGCCTGCCACATTATGCTGTGAAAATCCCACCCCCTGTTCTCCCTTTCCCCATGCTTCAGGATGCCAGAGATTCCTGCCCTCTTCTATTTACACAGCTCCCTTTCTCTTTTTTCCCCACTCGCTGACTGATTTGGGGCTTTTTTGCAGTCCCTGCATTTTTTTTCATGGGGACCTACTGATTTTGTGGTTTCTATGAAATTTGTGAAATCACAAATTTGGTAGGTCCCTACTTATCCCAGAAGTATAAGCAACTCAAAACGTAAGCAGCAGCTGTTGAAGGCTGTAAACCCAAGAAAATCTGCAAGTATTAGGAAAGAGAGTGAGTGCGCAAAGGATATAGCTGTAATAATTTATGATAAGGCTGAAAGTGGATTTATTATTATTAATGTTTTATTATTTAAATTGTGCTAACATTTACAGAGTACAAAGTTCTTTCTAACCTGGCACCCTATATAAGTAGAGATTGAGCTATCAAAATTATTAATAATATTTCATATAAATAATTAATGTTTATATTAATGTAGTAATAATAGCACACCCTCTGTATTTACCGAAAATATTTTCCCATCAATACAGAAATAATAATGCTCAAATAACAATAATTAGGCGTTCTGTTGTAATACTTTGTTACTTCAATAATTTAAAATTTGTTAGCTTATTTAAAGCTGGTAGTGTAAACCGTATGACTGTCTAGGTTGTTAGCTGCTTGCCTTGAAGAGCTGGATTAAATCCTTTGACAAATTTCCTTCCTTGAGAACATTGCTTATAATGACCCTGTATAATGATAGAGTACAGTTTCCTAAGGGAAGCTGGAAAAGAAGTAACTGCACATATCAGCATTCTTGTTTTCCTGAAATTTTGTTGGATATGAAGTAATTTGTTCCATTTTCTTCTGTCATGTGTATAAATATGACAGTAAAAATGAATATTTAGTTATGCCCATTTGTAATAAATTAATTCATAATAAATCACTTTATGCAAGATTGAAACCTTTTAATATAGCATTTAAGTTAATAATTATAATTGATAGCTCCTATAATTGATCAGAGCTATAGTTTAGATGCCAGGCTTTCTCAACATCATAATTCTCTTTTTACGGACACTGGATTTATGACGCATTATAACCTGCCTGATATCTGACTCCCCAGGTACCTCTCCACTATTCATCCTCCTTCTCTCCCCTCCACCCAGCCTCTCTCACCCATTGACTCCTCAGTCTACATTTTCACTGACTGCCTGTCTTTTATGCACACCAGCCCAGCCGCTGGCTTTTTTACTTCTCATTGCATCCAGGAAGAACACACACCAACTGCTGAAACTTCCTCAGCCTGACTAAGGGTTTTTGAACCCAAAAGCTTGCTTAAAATTTTTTTCCAACTATTTAAGTTGGTCTAATAAAAGGTATCAGATTCACCCAAAGAACCTTGTCTGCCTGTGTCCTTAAACCAACCTGCACCCCTGTAATTCTCTTTTAGCTTTCTTGTCCATCCTTTCCCTTTCTCATTCCCTTCCTCATGCCCCCTAAAGTTTACCTCGTATTCTGTACCTTTATAAGAGTCTTCAAAGACTTCCAGCCATTTTTTCCTTCCATTAGACCATTAAAAAAAGAAAATACTATTAATATCTTTTTAGTAGGATGAAGAAAATAAGGCTATTATCAGAAAGGTAATTATATTGTACAAATTGGTCTTTAACCTATAATAAAGAAGATAATTTGATATATGTTGTTATATCATGGAAAGTTAGCCAATGCATTATTTTTAAAACCACCAATTTTTATATTTAAAAAATTACCTATTTGCTGTAATTGGACTTAAATTTGCATGTATTAATGATACAAGCAAGAAAAATTGTCTACCTATATATAGTGTAAAAGTAAGAATAATGGAAATAATTTGACTAAGTTGTTTTAATTATAGGAATGTTAAAATATTACTTATATTAATTCTGTTTAAAATAGATTAAAACTGTACTGAAGAACTCATTATGTTACAAGATTAATAAGGTGATTAAGAACTATAAGTGTGGTGAAGCTCAAGAAGCAGCTTCAAATATGTACATTTTTAAATCAGTTCTTTTTTATTTAATGGCTTATTAAAGGAACACATAGGAAAATATTGTCAGCTAGCAGTATTGCAGCAATGCTGCGTGGGAGCACTAATAATATTATTTATTTTAAATAATAAATGTATCCATCAGAATGAAATAATTCCTGAATAAAATATGTTTACTATCACTCATGTTCAGTATAAAGCACATTGTAAATGAAATAAAAAGATGAATTATTTTAAAGATATGAAATAAAAATACATTTTCCATTCCAAAAGCTTTCATATAGTGTTGTAATGAAATCAAAGTGTACGTTTCTTCTTGCCCAAAAGTTTACTTGTCAGTCTGTGTGACAGTTGAGTCATGCTTGTTGTATATTAAAATTTCTGTGTATTACAGTGCTTTGATACTTAAAAAGAGCTATTTATATTATGGATGAATCCTTAATTTTTAACCAGTTCAATGTATTAATATTGGAATAGTTCCAGGTAATAGATTAATATTAAGTTTGTAAAGTAAAACAACATGCTGGAGTTTGCTAGGTCTGTGACAAAAAATCTGGTAGAGTTTGGTAGCGATGATGAAAGATTTAATGTTCCAAGGTTTGGTACATTTCATTCTGACCTCTGCTGGCAGTTGCAGTGAATAACTGAATTGTTTTCCATAGCACAGCCACTGACAATTGTATCTTTCTACAAAAAAAAAGTTTTCTCTTAATATGCACTGTTTGCTGAAACAGTACAAATACAAAATAAATATTTACTGTCATACAATAGATTATAATTAATTTAAAAGACATCTTTCATTTTGGTACGGTTTTATGACGTTTTATACAGTTACTTTCCAATTTCAAAGATCATGTTTTTGTGTTTATCTTATCTTATTAAGGAGGTCTATACTTTAAATTTTCCAGATGAAATCACTGACTGTTTTTGTCAACCAGGGAGTCACTCAGGAGCGCTACATTCTTACTTTGGATGCATTGCTGCTTTAATCGGAATTGAGGGTCAGGCTTTTATCCAATGCATGTCAGCAGATTTTTCTGTTAGTACACTTAAAGGTTTACTCAGACATGATGGGCAAATAAACCCTGCACTATACATTTCCTCAGTAGATTTCTATATTGTGTACTTTGATTTTACTTAAACACCACAGTGATGATAGTGCAGTAGCTCACTGTATCTGAAGTCCTCACTCTCTTATGAGTTGAAGAGTTCTGAGCAAAATAGCCATCTTCTGCTAAACTGGTTTACCCCTTGGTTAAAGAGCTTGCTGACTGAAAGTCTTGTGCGTGGTTTGGGGCAAGAGAGTTAACTGTTGTCCTGAGTTACTTCAGTATTCTTTGCATTCATAAGTTTCTTTTTGATCTGTCAGTAATGCTTCAGGGTTGTGCTTAAATTTTGGAGGCTGTTTATTAGTGGGTTATGGTCTGTAGAGCCACATGGATTCTCATGGATACTACACTTGGTTGTAGCTTAGGTAAGTGAAAGGGGATAAATGATTTTTCAAATATTTATCATTAAATCAAAAGTCTCTTTTTACTTTTTTTGTCAATTTAAGTTTTTTTTTCAATTTACAAAAATCTAAAAAAGTCGCTCTGGTTCCATGAGGGAAAGATTAGATGCCTTTAGAAAAGACAAACTCTGAAGTGTGCCTCTTTTAAACATTGATATGTTTAAAATAATTTAAGGGATTCTTTAATTGCTTTTCTCTTAGCCATTTTAAAAATGTATGAATTCAGATATTTTTTCAGATGTAGTTTTGGTCTACTGTTATTGTACACACTAGTTTCCAGTCTTGTAAAATTGTCAGTGTAGCTCTGTATTTTTCTTTAAATCTGAATCTCCTACTTTTCTATGTACTAGATTCCTAATGTGATTAATACAATTGACAGTAGTCACTGTTTGAATACAAATTTAAAAATTTTAACCTATGCTAATTTACATTCAGTTTACTATGAATGAGTTGTGCAAAGCAGTTCAAATGCATTAGATAATTGGAACAGTATATATCAACTATATGCATTTTAAATGATGTTATAGTTAGCTGCTGTATAAGAATTCATAGGAGTCTGCAGTAAAATGTAATTAACTGAAAGGAAACTAGAATTTTAAGCTTTATCTTAAATAATAATGTATCTAGAAATTGTCTTCATACAGGTAAATGGTTGCAGTTTTGTGACGAGAACATCTATACCTGCAGATTTAATCAGGGTACAGTATTGCAAGTTAATGTTGGTTACTAAAAACATCAAACAAGTTGTATAATAATCTGCTGTGCAAACAAAATTACCTGACTAACAAAATCTCTGCTGCATGCTAAGCTGTGTATCTGTTGTTATTGTACGATATCTTAACACAAATAATGTTGCATCTTTTATGAAATACAGAAAATAAACATCTCTATTTCTATTATAAAGCTTAGCTTTAACACGGAACTTGCAAAGCATCTAACGTCATCACTTCTAAGGTGTAAATTATATTAACACAGGTGGTTTCCATGGCAATAAACTCCTAAATGCTATATTATATTGTAATATTCTAATGTGGCATTTGATACAGAAATCAATATTTGAGTCTGTTGTCTTTGAGGAAATGTATAAGAGCTAGGTTGTTAAGGAATTTGGATTGATTTAGGAAGAAGAATTTGGAGTTGGAGATATTTATTCTGAGCATGGAATGCGGCACACTGAAACACGGCTAGAGATGATGGAAAATGAATTGGCTGGGAAACAGCAAGAGATTGAAGAACTAAACAGAGAGCTAGAAGAAATGAGGGCAGCATATGGTACAGAAGGTTTGCAACAGGTATAATTACCTTGTGTTGCTTTCTGTTTGCTACTTGGTTACACAAAAATACTGAGCATCTCCTGGAAGCATTTGTACTAAAAGAAAAACCTTCAGTTTCTCTGAATGTGGAGTACAGACTTTTTCAATTCCAGAGGGCATCATTTTCCTCAATATGCATCATCTGTACCTAAAAGGATATTCCACGTCTTGCCTTCATATTTTTCATTTCATTTGCATATTTTCCTTCATTTTTTCATATTGCCAAGATTTTCACTCTATTGCTCTGCTTCTCTTGCACGGAGGAGTGGAAGAATGGTTTTCTCAAAGAAAAGTTCTAATGATTTGTCAATTATTCAGTATCATCACAGAGTACATTTCCCTTGCCCCTTTTAGGCTAGACATTATAAAGTTCTACCTCCTGAAGAGTGAGAGCGCTCTTGAATTGGGAGGTTGATTTTCTGTGAAGGTAGTTGGATAGACATTTTAATAAATGTTTTCTAATTTGCAGTTGCAAGAATTGTTTCTTGCATTAAAACTTGAACATCTGTTTTAAAGAAACATATAAGGTGGGGGATATTTGACCAAATTCTGCCCTGGTACAAACAGGTACTACTACTGTGATTAAAGTCACTGTGCTTGCTTCCTTCATCCTGAACTTGATCCATTTTTTAAACATGGTTCTGTTTTCAAGGTCTGTGTTTTATTTCACATTTATTTCTGTTTATTGGATATTTTGTTGGTTTTAGATGAGTCTCGTGCTCATGAATTTTGTTCTGTGTTCCAGGGTGTTATAGAAAGATTATTTTGGTAGACCAAAGTTACAAGAAAACTGTTCTAAATTAAAGGGTCTTAAACCTATCACAACTGCGGGATTTTTTTGACTGCGAATTTCTTCCTTTTATTTTAGCAAACTTTGTGAAAATAGATGTCATTTTCTAGCATTGATCATCTTTTCACTGAGCATGCTATAAAAGTTAAAAAGAAAAACCAACAGTAGGTTGTTATTATTTTGTCAGTTCATGCATAAAAATGGTTTGAAAGACCACATTTCTGCTGCTAGTGATAAATATGAATTAAACTTAGTTCCTGGTTACTGTATTTTGCATCCATTGTGCTCAGATTTTGTAAGTATTGTAGTGATTTAGATTTAGGCAGTTACCAATACTGTTTACTTTTCAGCAATAGAAATTGTAATGAAATATGTTTAAGTTGGTAAGACAACTTTACCTCTATGTTTTAAGGTTTCTGTCTTTTAATGTGAATTCCATAATAGTTTTTAGTACTCCAAATCTCACAACTATTTTTCAGTCATACCACATCATTTGCTGTAGCTATACAGTGTTTGTTCTCGATAACAATATAATTTGAATAGATTCACTTTCCTTACTTCCCCTACATGAATCTTTTGTTCTAGAAAATTTGCAAAAGAAAACTGTTTGGATTTAGTTCCTACCATTTGTCAAGTTTTTTTAATACTCAAGGAAAGAAAACCAAAATCAAATCTAAAAAACACATTAAATAATGTGATTAGCCCATATGATTACTTTGCTTTATTTCACTGAAAGCTGGGAATATTGAAAAAAAGAAATGCTTGACATGTCTAAGTGCCTACTCTGTTCATGTATTAATATGGTTATGTGGCATCCAGAATAGTGGACATGTATACTAAATTAGGACCTGATGAAAATGGAAAATAAGGTTTCTTAATGCTTTACAGAGTAAGACTGTTAATAGATCTGACCGTTTATTTTTCCTTCCTTGCATGGAATAAAGAGTCAGGAATGATCTAAACAGAATTCATTTGTTTTCCCAAATTGCTCGTGGAGGGTAGGTGCTTGTGCTTAAATAGAAAACGGTGCTTATATACCATACTGAATCATAACTATATCAGTCATTTTAGCTATGAATTAAATATTAACTAAGTAGTAGAAATCATTATAAAACTTTCAGGTGTTAGCACTAAAACAAATGCAAGTAAATGTCCGGGTTTATAAGAAAAGTCTTCCTTTGACTGTCTAATGCTACTTTTTTGCAAGTTTCATAAAAACACCGTAGCACTTGGTCTTTATTTTCTTTATAAAATAGAATTGAGCTGGGGATACAGAGGTGCTCTTTGTGCTCTGATTTAAATAGAAAAAGTATGTTAGCAGATGAAGGACCAATATACTGTTGGAATAAATGGCTACAAGCCTATTAAAATCTGTAGTTTGAATCCTATATTCAGTATCTCCCTGTATGAGCTAGATATGCTTTTTATTGTTTATGTAGTTATAGAAAATTAAATTCTCAGTATAAAATCGCAGGAGACTAATGTTTGAAGTCCATATACATTAAGTTGAGATGTTGTATAAATTTTAAGGCTTCTTGTTTGCTTTATCTGAAGAGTACAAATAAAGTAAGCAGTTTTAAAACTGAACCAAAATAAATTGAAAATGTTAATGAAAGTGTCAGTTAATAATAATGAAGGATTTGTGGCTTACAAAATGTAATAAATAATATATTGACAAAAGGTACACAGAACAATTCTGAAGTGTAACAGTACTTTTGTGCTTCATTCTTTTTTCTGCATTACAAAAGTAATCATCTGAGTTTCCTCCAACATATTTTGTATCAATCTTAATGTTGAAAATCATTTTTCTTTCTCTTTAGATCAAAACACAGTTTATTCCAGGCTCCATACTAATGTTAAAGAATCTTTTAGTATCTGGTTTAAACTTCATTTTAATCATGGTGCAATAGGAAGTCTATATTACATTCTTTAAATCAGTTCCTTTATACTTGGTTTAGGAATTTTTTGTCAAAATTATTTGGAGGAAACGATGTTCTATGTTTGGATAGTATTAAGTACATTTACTATACAGGAAGGGTAAAATATGAATGCAGCAGTAGATTTGTAGATGTATTTTTAAAAGATAGAGAGTTCAGGAAATATACTTTATACTCTCATAACTTTGATTTTACTGGAATAAAACAGTATGTTTGGTAGATAATTTTGTCTCATGCTAATTTTTTTTAAATTAAATCTTCCATAGCTGCAAGAGTTTGAAGCTGCTATCAAAAAAAGAGATGACATTATCACCCAGCTTACTACTAATCTACAGCAAGCACGGAAAGAGAAGGATGAAACTATGAGGGAATTTTTAGAGCTTACTGAACAAAGCCAGAAATTGCAAATTCAGTTTCAGCATGTAAGTTTTATTGATAGCAGTGTGGCCTCAGATTTGATGGTAAAGTTAACTTAGATAAAACTGTTCATTGAATATTACTTCTGATAGCAATTAGTGTTCTTTTATGCACACTTTCCAGGAGTAGGAATAAACAGTGATTTTAAATAGTTAGCATTTATCAATAGTTATCACTAATATAATATCATAGGAAATACACTAGTGAATAAACCATATGTACATAGTAGCCACTGGTAAGTATTGGCTTTCTAATTGCAGCCACCTTAGAAAGAAAGACTTAACTGCAATAACAAAATAATAGGAGTGAAATCATGGTTTCTTTGAAAGTAAAGCCCATAGATTTTGTTATGGCCTGGATTTTTACTCGAATCCCATTAGATGTTTAGTTAAACACCTACCTTCTCTGTTAAAAGTTGTAAATTGTTCTATCATTTAATATTTTAGCCATCTTTTTACATTGTTGAGGTTACTAGTAGCCATTGTGGATTAATCATTATTTAATGGCATGTCGCTTTATGGTGCTGGAATTAAATATTTTAGCATTTGTTGGTGTTAAGCACTTGGCCATATCTAACATGGTCTTCGAGAGTACTGCATCCCTAGCTTGTGAATCTGAAGTATTACAAATACTGGTTTCTGAGAAATAGCCATTACAGATTATTCATTTAATCATTCTTAAGTGATGTTGGCCATAAAGCAGTTTAATATTTAGCCTGAAGAAAAAGCATGTTTTTTTCAGCAAGATACGCACAATGTTTTTGCACTTAAAAAGAGAAGCTAACATGGGAGATGGTTCGGTTCTAATAACCATACCACAGTGCTACATGAAGGTGGGTTGCAACCTCCTCTGCCAGAGCTCATGTACATGAATTAGTATGGCCATAGGAGCATTTGGAGCGGGGTTGGACCATGAGACACATGAGCTTTAGGGCTGTGAATGAGTGAGTGTATTGGGGAGAGTAGGAAGGGTGGGAAGCCCTTGAGCGGCAGGTGGAAAAAGGAGGAAATTGGATTGTGGTACAGTGGATTGTAGGACTTAGAGGGGAGGTGGGCAATGGGTTGGAAGGTTGAAAGCTGCTGTATTGCATGTATGTGGGTTTATGCTCATGTGAAAACTACTATGTCCATATATGTGGGCTTATGCTTACAGACATGCAGTTGGCTGATGTGGGGCAAAAAATGGGGGATACTGAAAGCTTATTTTCTTAGTGTAAAAACTATTACTGAAAAAATTAATTTACTTTATTTTTTCATTTGTAAGTTACAAGCAAGTGAAACCCTAAGGAACACCAGCCATAGCTGTACAGCTGCTGACCTATTGCAAGCTAAACAACAGATCCTTACACATCAGCAACAGCTGGAAGAACAAGAATATCTACTGAAAAATTACCAAAAAAAGAATGAAGAATCTGAAGCTCACATTACACTTCTGCAAGATAGAATTGCAATATATGAAATGGTAACTTCTTCTTAGAAAGATGTCTTTTACTTCTAGCTTGCTGATCTTTTTCAGAATAATGGGTCCTTTGAAGTTAATTATAAACACAGCAACATATTATGTCCACTCTTCTTATTATAGGAAGTGAAGTTTCTGGCTCCATTAATTCATTTTATAGAAGGAGCATGTTTCTTTAGGAAAGTCTGTTACATGTAATTTATTAGTGCACACTATCATATACCTAGTTTAGAAGTAAAGTTTAATAGCTGAAATATCTGCTTCTTACTTTACAACTAAATATATAAATATAGGATATGTATTTAAGATGAATGATAAAGATAAAACTGGATACTGCACTTGAATAAGAATTTTTGCATTACCTGTCAGCAACTTTTTATTAAAAGAAATCCTGAACAAGTTTCTTGTCATAACCAAATAGTGCTTTCACTTCTTACAGCACATCTTTAATATGTATGTATCCTCCATGAAGAATATAACATAAGAAAGAATACTTTAGAAACTTAAATACCATTAAAAGTAGCATTAAGCAAAACTTTTTTACTGTTAGCTAAACACTTTTGATGCACATCTATTGCATATGTGCGATGCATATTTATTTCTCTTGGTATTGAAACTCTCTTGCAATATTGAGAGAGATTGATGTAATTTTTCAAGTGGTCCAGGTTGCACACTAAAGAAAATTAATAGCTCCTTTATATGCACCATGATTGTAAACCAGTATCTGTTGAAGTCAGGAATTCCCATTGCCTTGAGTATGTTTTGGATCAGGTCCTAAATGTTGTCCCCAGAGGCCACATCCACATGAGCATGGACGTTTGGTTCCCCAAGGTCAAGTAGCAGTGGGACACCTTGTGCTGCCGCTAGTTGTCCCCAGAGAATGTCTGTGCCACGTGCCCTTTGGCATGCAGCAGGTTATCCTGGGTAGGGGAGCGGGGGCTGGGACCAGCACCAGACTGGCCCCAGCAGCCCCTGGGGGCCTCTTGGGGCTGCAGGAGTGGCGATCTTGCAGCTCAGAGCCTAGCTGGCAGCCAGAGTGTTGCTCTGGCTTACCAGGCTTTGGTTTTGAGGTGCGCACAGCCCCCATGTGTGCTGCTCCACTTTCTGATAATCTACGGATATCTAGGGGTCCAAAAAAACCCCCCTGTGCTTCTCCGTTGCAGTGCAGGGATCAGCTGAATGTTCAATATGTGGCGCCGCAGACATACTGCACAGCCTGCTCATCTGGATGCAGCCAGAGAGTTTTAACAAAATCATCAAGAACTCCCCGCACCCACCCCTGTATTTTTAATGTTATATTTGTGTATACTTCCATTTTTAACTAAAATTTTAAAAAATCCTTTAGAAAGGAAAACTACGAGATTTAAAAAAGGCTTTGAAGTAACGATGCCAAACGTATATTGAATGCAAGTATACTCAGGGAAAAAAAATGAAGTGATCATGAGTCTTCAGTTATTTCAGATGCATAGAAAAATACTGAAATAATTAGCAAATCATTCCCTTTTAATTGTATGATATGTTTCTAAGAAAAGATTTACATGTATGTAAATGTGTTACTTGCTCACTAAGATACCAGAGATTAATTTTATATGTTTGGTTTATAAGGAAAAAAACAAAAGTGGAGAATATTCCAATAAGAAGCTACAAGAAAAAGAAACATTAATTGAAGGTCTGGAAGCAAAAATTTCAGAAGGAGAAAGAAATGCAGTTCACTTAAGTGAAAAATTATCAAATGCCAATAAATTAATTGAAGAATTAAAAGAACAGATTATACAAAAGAACCAAGAAGTAAATAATGTGAGATTGGAACTGAGTAACTGCAAACAAAAAGAAAGACAATGCTCTGATGAAATAAAACAGTTAATGGGCACTGTGGAAGAATTGCAGAAGCGATGCCATAAAGACAGCCAATTTGAAACTGACATTGTACAAAGAATGGAATTAGAAACACAAAGGAGACTGGCACAACTTCAGGCAGAATTAGATGAGATGCATGGGCAGCAGCTTGTACAAATGAAGCAAGAATTAATTAAGCAACATGCATTAGAAATTGACAAGCTTCTTTCCCAGCAAAAAGCTGAGATGGAGAAAACCTTAAACGTTTGTTCAAGTGATAATATTCATGAAGATCAAATATATTTAATGAATATTACAATTAATGACTTGAATGTGAAATTACAAGATGCTAACCATCAGAGGGAAAAAGTAAAGCAAGATTTGTCACAACAGCTGGAAGCAATTTCAGCAGAAAAATCTCTTCAACAAACACAAATTGAAGATCTTTTTCAAGAACTGAGCTTTGCGCGGGAGCAAACTCAAAGAGCTAAACAGACCATAACTTCTATGGAATGCAGATTAAATGAAGCAGACAAATACCAGGTTGTGATTGAAGATCTGAAAGCTCAGCTTGGTTCTGAAATTGAGTTCCGGAAAGAATTAGAAATAAAACATGAAGCAGAAGTCACAAATTATAAAATAAAACTTGAAATGCTAGAGAGGGAGAAGGATGCAGTTTTGGACAGGATGGCTGAATCTCAGGAGGCTGAATTAGAGAGACTAAGGACACAGCTTTTGTTTAGTCATGAAGAAGAACTGTCCAAACTTAAAGAAGATTTACAGGAAGAACACAGAGTAAACATTGAAAACCTTAAAGATAGCCTGACTGCCCACTATAAACAACAATTAGATGCGGTACAAAATGAAATGAGTCAAAAGATAGAAGCCGTGCAATTTGAAAAGGACAACTTAATAACAAAGCAAAATCAGCTAATATTAGAGATTTCAAAACTGAAAGATTTACAGCAGTCTCTTGTAAACTCCAAGTCAGAAGAAATGACTCTTCAAATCCACGAACTCCAAAAGGAGATTGAAGTTCTTAGGCAAGAAAAAAAAGAAAAGGGTACACTTGAACAAGAAGTTCAAGAATTACAACTTAAAACTGAACTGCTAGAGAAACAAATGAGAGAGAGAGAAGATTGCCTTCAAGAAAAATGTGCAGAACTTGAAACACAGAATAGCCACCTTAAAGATGAAAATAAAGTCCTAGAAGATAAGTTAAAGCACACCTCGCTAAGCTCAGAAGAAAATACGATGTTCAAAGACAATGTTAGTTGTAAATCAGAAAACCTGGACTTAGAAAAAAGAATAGAAAAACTGATTGCTGAAAATGAGCAGCTTACAAAACAGGGCATCCAACTCGAGGAGGAAATTGAAAGGCAAAAAAATACTATTTTATTTGCTGAGAAAAAATTTGACATTAACTACCAAGAGCTCCAGAAAGAATATGCTTGTCTACTAAAGGTAAAAACTGATTTAGAAGACAGCAAGAATAAACAGGAAGTTGAATATAAATCCAAACTCAAGGCTCTGACGGAAGAGCTTCAGAATATACAAAGCAATAAACAGATTATATTGAAAACTAAAAGCTCAGCCTCTGAAGGCACTAGAGACAACAAGTTATGCAAAGCAGAAACTTTTGAAGTTGGAGAAGTTATTGAGAAAGATACAACAGAACTCATGGAAAAGCTTGAGGTTACCCAGCGTGAGAAACTAGAACTGTCTTTAAGACTTTCAGATCTTTCTGAACAGTTAAAGTCCAAGCATAGTGAAATTTGTCAGTTAAGTGAAGAAGTTAAATCTTTAAAACAAGAAAAAGAGCAAGTTTTATCAAGATGTAAAGAATTAGAAATCATAATTATTAATAACCAGACCGATATTAACATTGAACATAAAATAAAACACTCCAAAGAAAAAGCTCAATCAAATGCCACCCTAGCTACTGAAACTACAACTCTGATATCTGATCCAAGCAATGAATTTGCTGAGGAAATAAAACTAAGAGAAGGCAGCGTGAATTTGGGTAAAGATTCCGGTCATTGTGTAACAACAGAGGAGTCAATTCAGCAAATACTGAATCCAGAACAGCAGTCACTGTTAGATCATTTGCACCAGATGACTGGCAGATTAGCAGGAGAAACATCGCTAATGTCTATTACTCAGAGTGAAAATAATCAGCTTCAGCAGCAGCTGGATATTTTAAAATCTGAACAGGTATGTTACTTTAAATATATATAGTAAAGAGAGTTACCAGGCATGCGTCTGAAATGAAAGTTGTTAATTAAAAATTGTAAATATGTTCATTGCTTCTGGTTTACTGACTGTTGTGGGTATGCTGATCAGTAATTAAAAGGGAATTACAAAAGTGATTATATCTGTGTATATTCATGTAGAGATCTTTCTTTTCAATGATGCTTGGGGAAATTCAGAAATAAAGTAATTTATGAAAGAAGAAAAATATACTGAAGGTGAGGAGAGATTTTATATTATTTTTCAAAATTTGTTACATACAGCATTTTAATTACCTGTGGTGAAAGTTGATTAGTTTTTTTCCCCTCAAGATGCTTCCCTGTTTTACATTACAGGTCCATACCTCTAATATAGATGGCACATTTGCAAACTATAAAAGAATGAAAAGAATTTTCTTTACTTTTATAGTGTTCTTGTTCTGTTGAACCTGTAAAACAAAATGTTGACGCTTTCCCAACCTTCAGCCTCTATACTAAATGATCTTTTATTTTAATTTATTTGGTTAGAGGATGAGAAATAGAATGCGAGGAAGCTGTCAGAAGATACTAACCACTAGATATTTCAGCTGGGACTGCATCTAGTCTTTTTTTGCAATGGCTCATCTTATCAGACTTGTGTTGTTCTGGTAGTTCAGTTTCTTTCCTTTTCTTAAACTTTTATAAAGAATTCTTGTTCCTTTTATCAGGAAATATTTGCTGTTTGTGAGTAGTTTAAAAATACCCTTTCTAAATTCCTTTATATGTTAACAAAGTGCTTTAAAATGTAATATCTGGTTACTGACAGAGGTAACTTTTAGCTGCTTCAGAAGTAGAAGGGGAATTGCTACTTGGGTTCAGGCATCAGCTGTTACGTTGTAGCTGTTGTATCTGCAAGCTTCCCTAGTGCTGCAAATGAGCTAAATCATAAATTTTAATTAATGATTAATTAAATCATGTTAATGAAACAGCCTCCACAGGTTAGAAGAAAATACCACAGATCTATGCTATGCGTGCTCATAGCCAGCCACAGGTGGATCATCCATTAGAGGGGGAATTCCTCAGTGGTATAAAGCCAGCAGAGCAGCTTCTCTATGCAGTTGGAGTGACTATGCCAGTATTCTTGTGTCCTGGGAATCCTTAGCTGTCAAAACGGTTTCTTTGAGTAACAAACGGTCAGTATTACTTAGAGTAGCCTGAAGGATTTTCTCAACTTAAACCAAACCAAGCCATGGCTACAGAATCAGACAAACCCAAAGGCCAGGTTTTCAGTTGGACTTCCTGAGCATAAGCTAGTTCCTGCTGCTGGGCTTCTAAACTTTTTAAACTCTGTCATCTGGGGTGCCCTGCATCAGAGACCAGCTCCCCAGTGTCAGGCTGCCTGCAAGCCTATTGAAATTTCCTGGTGTGTAGGGAGTCCAGGATCAGGGAGCTACTCTCCTACTCCATGTTCCCCATGCACCATCAAGCTTAAAGAGCATGCGGACAGCCTGGCATCGGGGACTGGCTCCCTGCTGATAGGTTGTACCTGGGTCATTTAAAGGTCTGGGCACATGGGGAGGCCATGATCAGGGAGCCACTTGCTTCCACTCCAGGTTGTTTTAACTGAATTATCTTTGTCTCTGAGCTTCCTTGGAAGCTATGAGGGAGCCGGTATGTTGTCTGGAACATGCCCGCTGAACTACATATGAGTTCAATCAGTTCAAGTGGTTTTCTTAAAGCAAAATAAGGTTTAAAAGATGCATTATCAGTAGAACAAGAATTTGCATTGGAACAGCTAAGTGGATATATGTAGGGATGACTAATTCAGGCTCCAGCAGCTGTGGGAGCAGCAGCTTCCTGTAGGCTTGCAGAGTCAATTTTACACATTTTTCAGAGTGGGCTCTCCCACACCTGTGTCTGAGGGAGCCCACCATGGGGCTGAATACCGTTGAACAGCAACACACAGGCTTTTCTTCCACTGTTTTGCCACCATCTGTATGAAGCATGCCTGCAGAATACTACTTCACTCAATCCATGGCAGAAAATTTCTTTGCTAGATGGGTCATCTTCACACTGCTCTTGCTCATCTTTTCAGCTTGCACCATGAAAAATATGGAAATCATAGAAATTTAGGATTGAAGGGACCTCGGGAGGTCATCTAGTCCAGTGGTTCTCAACCTTTTTCACACTGGGACTCATTAGCATAACTATCAGCTTGCTGTGACCCACACCCTCCCCGACCCACAAAGTCTCTCAGTCTCTACACCCTAACCCTAACCCTAACCCTAACCCTAACCCTA